GCGCTCTAACATCCCAGCTTGTTTCATCAACTACCTGTATATGAGGTCTTCAGGTAAGCCCATTTGCTCTCGTTTAAAAGCTGGCCACTGCCAATAATGAACAGAAATGAAGTATCCAAAGAGTAAATGAATCTTGTCAATGCTTTTAAGTTTTGGTAGTGCTTTTGTTATGCAGTGCTAAGTAACTGCAACAACTATTGATGAAAAACTGTCCATAGTCCCATTGAGTTTATGAACAATATTTTAATCAATTTCCTCGATGTAAGCAATTCATTTATGTATAGATGTGACTACTACAAAGGATCTTAGAGGGTCTTGGTTGACCTAGGAAACTGAACTAATGAGAATCAATTACTTACCTTGTTGCTTAGCCCCCCATACAGTACTATGGCTGGTACATTAGAAGGAGTCCAGATAAATCCTAAGTAATCTACACGTGCAAAAACTTATTATACACTTACCAGTTCTTAACTGAAGAACCAAAAAAAGTGGGTAGTAATTCAATGAAAAGGTGACTATTTTGATCTAGGATCAATTGCAGGAAGTGAATGAAAAGGCAGCCAAGCAGAGCTGAAAACAGTGCAAGTGTAAGGTTACAGAGGCTGAGTTGTTGCTGTCCAACTTGCTTTTAAGGTTAGGTCCACTCACCAAGGCCAACTGAACAGCAAAGAACAGATCCCAGCCTTTAGTTTTGAAACACATACTGCATGTATTGACTGGCTTGATCCAAGCTGAAAATCACTCGACCTAAAGACAGAAAACTCTCATCGTTCACCCATCACGGTCCATCCCCAGTGTCCAGGTCTCCAGGAAGGTATCAGGGATATACAGGATAGGCTGACAAATTATGACTTCATTTACTTTTATCCTAAGTCATTCTGGGTTCAGCCAAAGGCAAAATAAACCAGTTATGAAAACATGTACTTTTAAAAAAGTAATGAAATTCTCAAACTGAGTTTAAGGGCATCAAATTATTTTACTTTTTTTTACATTATCAAATACGTACAAAATGTGTATTATGCAGCCTTAATTTGTTTTCTTCTGCACACCAAGTACAGCATCTCTTAGCAAGGAGCAATTTCACCTTTAAAACAACACCCCGGCCCTTCCCCAACTAATTCTGAAATTTACTGTGTCAATTTAAAGGATGATCCCAACCACAAACTCTAGGTTTTATGTTAGAAAGCCCATTTCCTGACTGCTCATTGTGTGTATATTGTGGATGAAGTACTCTCCAGGTAGTACATTCTCAGCACAACCAAATCTTTCACAACTTACCACAACACTGAGCGTAAATGAACAAAGTGGGAGATGGACTCTAAAGGCTTTTTAACCACTGTACTATCCAAGTGGGAACTATTTTATTCCCACATTCATTAAATATGAATGGCCAGTCCAAGAACTTGGCTTTTATCTAAGTTATGGGGTTAACTGGATTTTTAAACCTGAATATAAAAATCACCATTATACAGCTAAAAATTAATCTCAAGTTAATTTCTCTATTTAATTTTCAGGTAATAGAGACTTAGTGCTTTAAGCAGCACATTACCTAAATTATGAATGTCTTTTCAAAAAACAAAATCATTTACAATTATCAATGAAGATTAAAAAAAAACCTAAATGATGAAGAACATGTGCTTCCTTCAACCTATCCATTTAAAATAAACTCTGGTTAAAAGAAATCATCACTGGAAATAATCATTTCAAGTTTTATATAATTGCTTCCAATCTTTCAAGGCTCTAATTAATATACGTTGAACCATATAATGTATTTAAATGGGAAGGGGGTAAGGTCTGTGGGGTTTGTTTCTGCCAAGCCAAATTGGAAGTGGCAAAGGCTTAATTGAATCCTAGTTCACGAACTAGTCAGTGGTTAAGAGCTTTTCGGTTCACTATAGCATACTTACAAGCAATAGGTGCTATGACCAAGAGAAATTTTGGCAAGAGATATCTTCTACGACAGTTAAAGTAACACATGCCCTTCTGTCCCCTACTTTGCACCCAGTAACCCCACTATTATCAGGAGCACCCTATTTTCACTGAGTGTGATCCCAATGTAACTACTTTGGGATCTACTATCAATTACTTGCCTGAGGGTTTGTGGATTACAATAGGTGGCAAAATTATTCAGAACCTGATGTGGAGGCCCCCAAACCAAACAGTGCCCTTCATCTTTGTTGTGTAATTCTTTGAGTAGGTTTTGAATTTTACATTGGATTAAATTGTGAAAATACATGAAAATAAAGTAGTAGTATCTGGCTTGGCTTCAAAGTCAAAAATATAAAGGCTAAAACTTTTGTAAGATTAACCAACAAATACAATGGACTCAAATCCTAAACTAAGCCCTGAAACCAAACATTCAAATACCTGAATATTAATGTTTCTGCGTAGTACAATGTTTTCACAAACAAACCCATGAATTCAGTCTTACAAGCAGCAGTAATACAAATTTAACTCAACTATCTTAGAGGACTTACATACCAATCAGTGTCATTAGCCTATTCACAAAATAATGAAAATATTTCCATTCAAGCTAAGGTCTCCTATTCATATCTACTTGTTAAATGAGGTAAAAACTGAAAGTCCATTTTTCTTAAGTATTTACTATTCTACGCCAATTCCATATAATTACTGTCTCAGAAATACTAATACTTCTTCAGATATAAGAATTCTGAGAAATTCTATACATTTTACTTTCATTAAAACTATAAACTAAAAATCTGAAGTGCCTCAAAAAATATCTATAGTTAAATCAGTAAAATCTGTTGAACTGTGTAATTCCTTCCTTTCTAGTTTTCCAATGACAAACTCCACTTAGGAGGGTTTGGTTAGTTGCTCATATTCTGAAATTATGCCAATTTACAGACTACCATGGCCTAAGCATAGAATATCTAACTCTAAACATCTCTACTCTCTGTTCTTACAAAAAAACTCATTTAAAAAAAAAAAACCACCCAAAACATCACCAGTACATTTTATAAAATTAAATGTAAATTTTATTAAGGATTTCCAATTACATTATTTCAAATTTCTTAAATGGAGTAGAACCATTTTGGAACTGGAGAGATGGCAAAGATGAACACTGATATCCTTCGAAACCCCAACTTCATTAAGAGAACAATCCTCTGTAAACCACATCACCCTTATCTAATGAGACAAAATGGTATTACTCCCACACTTTGGCAATAGCTATTTCCTAAAGGAATGAAAAAAAATTAAACCCAACCTGGTATTGCTACTGTTAAGCTCATTAAAAATGGGACCCTATCTTTAGATTAACATTTTTTAAGTTCAGCTGTGTTCAACTGAAGTATGGGTACAAAAAAAAACCCAAAAACAAAACAAAACAAAAAAAACCCCAAAACAAAACCAACAAAAAACCCTCACAAAACAAGACAAAAAAACCCCCACACAAAACAGAGTGACTGATCACAGCAACCAATATCATTTTGAAAATGAAGAAAAATATAAGGTGTTTTCATAGCATTTTCCCTCTATAAACTATTTCAATTGGTTAAGGATTTTCAGTAGTTAATTAAAATCTCAGGAGTGAAACAGATAATACTATATAAATAACAAAATGTATTCATTCAACATTCTAAAAATGGAAGCTTTATTACTTCTAAAAGTGAGCCTAATGTTGTTTTATTATGAGCAGAAACTGTAAGCTGTTGTACTATTACAATCCAATTAGTCCACGCTTACTGCTAAACTTTAAGTTCACCACACAAAATTAACAGTGATTAGCCTGAGGTATTTTAAATGTCGCTCTACAATCCTCAAATGTAATGGCGTTCCACCCACCCCCACAGACAGTCTTATTTCTATTTTAGTACCATCTCTACAATATGGTCAAAACTAAAATAACTAAAAACAACCTTTGGACCTTGTCAAATAACTGGCTATCCATCCACTTGTTAAAATAAGAGCCACACAAAGAACGTTGTGTGACCAGATCCCAGAATAAGGTACTTAACTTTTGTTTTCTAGTTTATTTATCAAACTGTGGTAGAATAAAAGGCTGAATATCATACTTGTGGTGCAAACAGGTCCAAATTTTTAAGCTTTAATAAGGTTGAGAAACATTTCATATAATTTAATTTAATATGCCTAACACATGAGGTAGTTAAGTAAACAGTACTACCCATTTTAATACATAGTAAGCAAAAGCATGGGTAAATAGCATGCTCATACTTTAAACAATAAGAATTGGAATTAACCATAGAGGCTTGGGGCCCTCTCATGTTTCAACCAAAAGAAATAAAACTTAAATTTTCTTTTAAAAAATTACATCATTTGTCTTTGTCTTTTACACTTTCTTATTAGATGCAGTACACCTCTTCCGAAGTTGGCACCCTTTTCTTCAATATGCTGGTAAACTGAGTACAATGTTTAATTCAAGCTAGGGCTCTATTTATGCCTGAATTAGTACAAAATTAAGACATTATTTGTGAGAACTAAAATTACATTTGACATTTTTATTTTAGGCTGCAAAACCAAAAACAAGCAAGCAAACAACATAAAACTTGAAATGAACTTGTCAAATGATGAAAATTCATCCTTTCCAGGGAAGCAGAAGGTAGACCAGACCCTACCACAAAGGAAAGATGCTTAGTTAATGGAGGTTAAGTTTACGAATACAGTTAAAATAATAAAGCTTAACTTCTGAAAACACTAGGTTTTATTCACCTCCCTACGATAAAGTAACCAATAACCATACGACTGAGTTAGGGTTCTTTCCAGTTAACTACATCACCCAAAATATAAAAATCCATTAATAATCTAGGTTAATGTGTGTGTTCTTACTGGAAATTCTTAACCACAGCCTTATCTTGACAAGTTTTTTTATTAATAATAAATTGTTTTAGTATAGGCACTGTATTTCTCTAACAAAGTAATAAAGGGCAAAGCTAGTCCAAGCAAACTTAAACCCATGTAACTACCACCTGAAAAAATACTTTGGTTCTTCAAGGAAAAAAAATGGCAAAACAAAAAATCTGTTTCATTTAATAGTTGTTTTATTTTTGTAGCTGTTATCTAATAATTACATGATAAAAAATACCCCAGAAGAACCAAACTATGTAGCAATGAATGACAACGTGTGAGAGAATTTCTGCATTCAATATACCTGGCAGGAAAACTAAAGTTAAAATGCTAGGTAGAACAAAATTGTTTTTAAAATATCAATTCCTTTCCTTTAAAAAAAAAAAAGTACTGAGTCTACCAAGAAAACACAGAGACATAAGGCTGTAAGTAAGTAACAGTTGTGTTTAGGCTATTACAGTGCAGGTTGTCCTCAAGGCCACACACATCCTGCTTCACTGCTGCTTGCACTCTGCTGGGTTTTGATCCTTCTGTTAAAGGAAAACAAGAAGTCAATCTATCTTTTTCTACCTGTTTCAGTTAACTTTTCATTAGTAATTAACGACCTTAATTTTCACATTATCTCACTGCTGTCAAAAATTTTGCCAAATTAATGACAGGTTATAGCAACAATGGCAAATTTATTTACTTACGCATTAGCAGAAAACAGAAGTGCTAAAATAAATCCAAATTTTAAACTGTAGAATAAACTCTATAAATTGAGACATACTGAGCCATAATCTCATTAAATTAAATAACTAGGCCATTGAGGTTAGTCATAGTACCCAATATTTCTGCTTTCTTATAGATTAGTTATTAAAAAAATATTCATTCCATTCACAATTGAGCTGTTAGGAGTAATTCATACCTGTTAAAATATTTAATTTGATTTTTAACTATTCCCTCTTAGCTGCTCACTAGGTTAAAGTTATTTTCTGGGTATTTTATAGCATTTAGCAAATGAATGAATGTACTAAAGAGAAACCTGAGTTACAAATGAATCCTAGTAAAATGTACCATGGATTTTGTGGGAAGATAAAGGCCTTTACTAATCCTGGTAGGACAAATTCCAGGAATAAGACTGGGACTCAGAGATGGTGCAGAGTGGTGGTTGAAAGAATCTGAGCAAGCACTCCTGCATGCAGATGCTTTAAAAGCTGACCTTTGTTTATAAGCTTTCCTTTGGAAGGAAACAACCTAAAACTGTAAGCTATAATTTAAAATATTTCTAAAACACTATTTTTAAAAATGTACATGATAACATGCCATTAAAATAGAATCCTAGGACTTAAGTTATCCTGAAACTGGAAAATATAGTCAGAACCAAAAATAAAAGTTTCTTAGAAGAGGAGCATTGAAAGTATGTGTGCACTGTTGAAATGCCAGTGGCATTAAACACACACACACACTCAATGGACTAGACTTTAATATACAAATTAAACTTTATATATTCAGATATACCACCTCTTATTTATCCTGATTAAATTTAATAGAAACAACACTAATTTTGCTCACCTTTGAGTCATAGTCTGGATCATTTTCCTCATCTTCTTCTTCCCCTTCCTATATTAAAGTTCAAAATGCATCCATGAAGTAGGTACACAGTAGCAAGAAACGGCTCATAACGTAGGGAGAATTTAACACAAGTTACTCTATAGGTCAACAGAATTTCATGATTACAAAGTTTGGTGACAATGCAATTTAATTTGAAAGCTTCTAATATGAAAAATTTCCCAACACAACTTGAGACATCCAGACAGCTTTTATTGAAAAGATTTACTGCAGCCAACGTTGAAAAAGTTTACTGCAGCTTTTGACTTCTTCAAAGAGCTGATAACCCTGCAGCAGAACAGAATTATTTGAAATAAAAAAAATATTCTGAGTTTTGCAATTTATTTATTGAAACCTCATACATACATTGTTTGGCTGTAGATTCTAAAATTGTAATTTTTCCAAAAATGTTTTTATCCCACATCACAGAATAATGATTATATAGCAAAGGAATACATAAGTCACTCAATTTCCTTCTGTGTTTGAAACAGAATTATCTGCTCATTTGGTAAACATTACCTCATCCGCTTCTTCACCTTCTTCATCATACTAAAAAAAGGAAAAAAAATCAAGTTTGATGAAGCTAACAAACTTTTGAGAACAGTATTATTCACATTCATCACTGTATCCATTAATAATTAAAAAGAGGAAAAATACCTTCCCTGAAGTGACCGACTATGAATTAAAACAAGAACAATAGCTGTAGGAATCACTCGGGCCAGTGCCATAGAAATCTGATAATTTGAAAAAATCAGAGCAAAGTACCAATTGCAGATAAAGTATGATCAAGCAGCTATTACTGTAAATACTACTTTTTTGTACTTATGTGTGAAACACACTGCATAGAAAGTTCTTTTGAATACTGCCATTTAGCAATGATTCCCAAACCTTTGAGGGTAGCCTAATTTGACCTTAATCATTAGGTAATATCCCTAGGGATAAAAACTCTATGCTTTCTAATATGATTATCTCAAGCACTTAAAAAGTCCTACCATGTTTTATTTGGTTAGACAAGATCATAATAGTTCTACAATACTAAGCAAACATAATTTTCACTGATCTAGCCGGTCTTCAAGCAACAAATGGACCCAAAGATGATCTACTTAAAACAATTCAGTCAAGTTATCTATAGGAAATCAGTAATTATCCTAATTGCATTATTCTGTCTTGCTTTCTAAAAATCACCACATCTATTCATTAAACCCCTCACCAATTCTGACTATCATACCCTCACCAAAAGATTTTACTGCAGGATTCAGATTCACTCACATCATCATCATCATCTTCAATAGCTTCCCCAGTAAAATACAACACTGATCTTGGAATTATACGCTCACGTAAAAAGTGACCGATTTCAAAGTCTGCAGCAAGGATAGCTTCAGCATCATCATCCTATTTTTAAAAGAAAGCACAAAATTTAGTAACTCTGTTATTTAATTTGGTACATGCAAGACTGTTGGGTTTAAATCATGAAGAAACTCAATTTCACTCTTAACTTCCCATCATTTTAAACTAGTTTACACGTGGTGTTATCAAACAGTTATTTAAAGGTTTTTAATAAAAAGAAATTGTTAAAAATTAAGTGTACATACTCAGAGAAATTTTGGGAAATAAAAATTAGAGCAGGTTATTGCTTACTTTTTATGGCTTGAAAAGTAAAATATAAATAAGTAACTTGGTTATATGACTAAAATTTTTCCTTTTAAAATATTAGTTACTGAAAACACCAAGTGGAAAAATAGAAGGAATCTCAGTTTTAATAAGGAGAGAAACTATATAGTCTTGAAAACCTGAATCCCTCACAGCAATATCTGCCAAGTCTCAAAAGGAAAAAACCAAAAAAACAAAAAACAAAAAACCTTAGCTTTTCAGCATTTCTCAGTGAAAGCACCAGGAGTATTTTAAATGGAATTTTTCAGATGCATAGTCTTCTCTATGCACTGCAAGGCTTGGGACAAAATGCTAGGAGCAACTACTTCCCTCTGCACTTTTGAAAACCAATCTTAATTTCACACACAGGAAACAATTCAATAAATAAATAACAATTCAGCTTACCAGATCGCCACTCTCAGGAACTGCAAAATTAAGAAGAGAAATTCAAATGAGTTAAAAATTAAACAAAACTTACTATGAAACAACTAAAAATACCCAAACTAAAACACTATTTACCTTCAGGAGGAGCAAAAAAATTAAAGAAAGAATCATTGGAAACTGTTTTGGTCACAGTACGAACTGTCCCACGTCCCTTGTGTTTCTGCTTCTTTTTAATGGTTTTCAAAGTGACATTCTTCCCTTTTTTCCAATCTATCTGGCACCTTCCAAAACAAAGGGGAAAAAAACTTCTGTCACAATGAACACATTACTTTTAATTGCATGCAGAACTAAAATTGTTCTAAATAAATAGTATATTAACTTAAAATCTTAGAGGGAAAAACTGGTCCAAATGTTTTCTGTAGCAATGTAAAGAGAAAATTTTATTTATTTATTTATTTATTTATTTATTTATTTATTTATTTATTTATTTATTTATTAATATATTTAATTGTTGTTCAAGTACAGTTTTCTTTTACTCCCATCCCAGCCCACCCCCCCAGTGTTCCCCACCCCCCTTAGTTTTTGTCCCTGTGTCCTTTATACTTGTTCCTGCAAACCCTTCCCCTTTCCCCCTGAAATTCCCTCCCCTCTCCCCTCTGCTCACTGTCAGCCTGTTCTGTATTAAAAATTTATTTCTAAATAATTTTTTTCAATAAATATATTCACAATTACCACAAATTCACAATATAATAAATTAAAACATGCACTTCCTTTGGAGAAATATCTGTAATAGCCCACAAGCCAAGAAAAATTCTAGGAAAATGGTTAAGTTCTCAGAAAACATTTTATTCAAACATTTGTTTGAAAATAAACTACGTATGTATGTATCAAGCACACACACCAGAAAATACCAGTATCACAAATCATAAGTAAAACAAAAACATGTAGCATTGTTAATATAGTAAAATTAAAACTCACCCTGTACAACCCATAATTTCTGGTCCATCAAAAGAAAAGGGATCAGAATCATCTGGTTCTGACCTCATCCTATATGTCTTTGTCAACACTTCATTTGTGAAATACTCATTGGGTTCAAAGTGAAATTCTAAAACAAAGCTCTTAAAAAAAAAAGTATAAAAGCTAATTAAATTCCTACATCATCATTTTCGATGCTTTAGTAAATAAAGCTTGAACTGACCAAGTCCCCCTTTCTCCCTCCGTCCCCACGAAGATGACTTGTAAATCTTACACTAGACCCTGAGCTTGACAGAGAAAAACCCCAACCTCGTACATACCAATGTAAGAATCTAGAAACTACAGTAACTTTGCCCATACTTCACATAATATCACTGATGGTTTTTGGGAGAAGCTATTGGTTGGTTTCTCATAATGGGGAAGTAGAGACCTTCTAACATCTTGTTTTATGTAATTCCCAGATATATGCCTTTTAAATACAGAAAAAGTATTTTTGTATTTATGTACCTTTGGTATTATTTTTTAGTCCATTTTTTAATCCAGGATCAAGAATAGACTGTATTTTTAAAATAGTTAAAAGGTAGGAGAAAGAATAAATGTTGTATCACGTTATCAACATCAAAACATTTATTTTTTGCCAATAATTAAGAATACCAAGTATCATTTTGAATTTCTTCCACCCCCTCAACTTATCACGTCTTTTAAAAAAATTTCCATTTGCCCTGGCTGGTATAGCTCAGTGGATTGAGTACAGGTCTGGGAACCAAATGACCATGGTTCAATCCCCAGTCAGGGAACAAGCCTGGGTTGCAGGCCAGTTCCCAGCAGAGTACGCATGAGGCAACCATACGTTGATATTCCTCTCCCTCTCTCCTTTCCTTCCCCTCTAAAGTAAATAAAAATCTTTTAAAAAGCTTACTTTAAAAAAAAAATTCCCTTTAGTTATTTGTAAACACCTAATGTTACAAAATTAAAAGTATTTCAAAGTTTTTACCATAGGCTGGCCAGCATCTGAGAACTTCACTTTAATATCTTTCAAATGCTTCAGAATAGGCTCATCATGTTCCTTCAAATTAAAAATAAATAAGTAAGTAAGTAAGGTGGCATTTTAAAATTAGTGTTATGTTACTGGACGTTAAACATTTTAAAATGAAGTTTTATGTAGCAATGACAACATCATTACCCACACTGACTGGGATGAAGAATACAAAAACCAAGTCTAACATAAGCATGTTTGCTTTTGTAACTACTGCCCTTCGCTGCTTTTGTTCCTTTCAATCTGCTTGATGCTTTCCTTCTTGGCTAAGGTAGAAATTCAATAAGCAGTCATTGTTTTGAGGTTTCTTTTTCTTGACATTAATTTCCAACAATCACAGTATCAGGCAAGAATACAGTACAGATGGTAGGGGCTCAAGAAATGTTTCTGATTAGGAGGGGCAATGTTTCCCAGAAAAAGTGACAATTATAAAGAAGTTAAAGATATTTATAGCATTCTTTTAAATGCAAATGTTCCTTGGAATAGTAATTTCAGACTGAAACATCTTTTGGATAAGACAAGTGAAACTGTTGAGTCTTTCACATCCTGCCGTTACACTAAGCATCTAAGACAGAAGGTATAAAGCCACGAGAAAGGAATAGAGACTAATGGGCAATTATCAAATGGACCATTTCATTATCTAGTTTTTTAAAGTGAATCATAATTTATTTGGTTATATTAAACAAAGCTGCAATACTACCTCCACACATAACAGCTCTTTCGAAGAAGGCTATCACTCTTTAAATATCGACAGTGACGAGACTAGTTATCAGACATTTAAATTTCAAAGCTTTATTCTCTAAGGTAAACTGCCATTTTTTAGAATATTACCTGAACCATATCACTGAGCAAGTCAACATTCTTAAAAACAGTCAACCAAAATTCAGGGATTCCCTTGGGGTCTTGTTTTTCTTCATCCTTTTTCTCATCTTCAATCTTGGCCTTTTCTTGCAGTTCCTCCTTGATAAATAACAGCATGTAACTATTGAATATTTAGATTAGACTCTTAGACTATATATTCCCTTAATTTAAATGCAGTGGGTGAAGTATAGAAACCAACAAACCCTCAATTAGTAATTACAATGTTCAGTCCTAATAGTTCTAGTCCAATTGTGTAAACACTGCTGTTACCCATACCAAACCCACTTTTATAAAATAGTAACTTTTAAACATAGTAAACAGGAAAACCAAAAGAAATATAAAACTTGTCCCATGTTTTAAATTCCTAATGTTTTTAAATCATTCATCAATGTTTTTTCAACAAAATATTGTATTATCTTAATCAACCAACATTAAAATAGCAATTCTGGAGAAACGGGGTCACGTAACAGCACCGACACTTGTGCCCTGCCATTACTAGTTGTAGGCAACTCACTTAGAGGCCTCCATCTCTTCACTTGAAAAAAGTGAACAATCCTCTGCATGTCATCAAGTTCAAAGGAAAAGTTATTTCCAAGGTACAAGACATACTAAATTAAAAGTTGGTACCAACCGAAATTTCATCTTCCTCATCTGGTTTCCATTCACATTCTTCTTCTGTAGGTTCATAAATTGCATTAATAATCTCAAATCGCTAAAATGATTGAAAAAAAAAATGGGTTACATAAAAACACTGACACCCAAGCAAAAAACTATGTTTCTCATTAAGAACCCAAAGAGCCCTGGCTGGTGTGGCTCAGTGGGTTGAGTGCCGTACTGAGAACCAAAGGGTTGTGAGTTCAATTCCCAGTCACGGTACATGCCTAGGTTGCAGGCCAGGTCTCCAGTAACGGAGCGCTCAAGGGGCAACCACACATCAATGTTCTCTTCCTCTCTTTCTCCCTCCCTTCCCCTCTCTAAAAATAAAAAATAAAATATTATAAAATACATATATATAAAGAACCCATAGATTTAACTAATGTATACCACAACTTAAATATTACTGATAGTCTTCCCAAATTCATACATGTATTAACTATTTTACTGAGAGGTCTACATTGTTTCCGGAACTTTATTACCTTCTTGATATTTAAATAAATAAAACGAAATAATAAAAAGCATTACCTTATCAAATAAAGGCTGATAGAGAACAGCATACTTTCTTTCAAGGTCATGAACTTCCTCATAGAACTTGGCTTCTATCTGTGCACATTTAACCTGAAGGTTTTTGAGAGCATTCACTCGTCTTTTAACTACCTTAGGCAAGCTGAAAGGACAGAAAGCATCAGTTACGTAGCTTCACCGTAAGACACAAGTCACACTTCTTTTATCTTACTGAAACTGAAGCATAAAAGTAAACGATAGATTTCCTATATGAAGCCAAGATATACTAATTTAAAGTAAATGAACTTACAGTAAACTGATAGAAAAATGTAAATCATATTATCAACCCAGATCTTTCATCATACTCATGGTTCAGTTTTGTTTTCAGTAAGGGCATCTCAGCTGTAAAATACAGTCTACCTTATAAAGTTAAAATGTCATAAATGACAATGCTAACTCTAAGAACAACAATGATAGCCTAAATTTTCTTAAAAAAAAAAAAGAAAGAAAAACGAGTATCTCACCTGTACACATCAGTATTGGGGGAAAGGGAGTATGTATATATTGCAAAAAAGGACAGTAGCCTACACCACTATTTTCTATTTTAGCCTCTATTTAATTTGGAATTTGAAATTAAGTAAGAATGTATTATTTTATGATGAAGAGACTTGGGTTTTTTAACTAACAGCTTTACTGAGATACCATTCATGTATTATACATTTACTGTGACACACAGATTTTTAAAATGTTATACACACCTAGTCTGTGAGCCCCTCAAAGAACTGCTTACACTTATTTATGAACCACCCCACCTGCCAAAATATGCTCATACTCAAAATTTACCTAACTCCAGGGAGTCTGTGTAACAGATTCACAATCTAGGTTAGAATTTCCTGCCAAAAACAGATTGTCGTGTATCAAGTAATTATTTTACCTATCCACAACTTTAGTTACGATAATCAAAAGTAAAAAACAAATACCTAAAAGATATCAATGTTTTATTTATAACAATTAAAAACAAAAAGCTTAATGTTGCTCTGTCAGCGGACTGCTGGTCACTACTTGGACTCTGGCTCAGAACCCACAAGCACTGCCTCCTTCACCCCCTCAAATCTGGGTACAATGGATTACAACCAGGAGACTGCCTCCTCCCAAAGAAGCCAAAACACTTGCCCAAAATCGTCAGCAAACTGCATCTGATACAACTGGAACTCTCGTTCAGCTCATCCCATCCCCTTCTCCTTAAACTCCACAGGACCAATACAAACCAGAGTCTGAGTTTCATTCCTCCCTCAATACTCATTATTAGAATAACGCTTAGAGTTCAGTACCCCTAAGCTAGACACCTGAATACAATTTCTATGAAAGAATGAAATCTGAAGCAGCATCATTAGTAAGAATTTTGAGAGAATAAATATACTTAGAGATGAGGGAATATCCTAACAATATGAGACAAGACCAAGAAATCGAAAACAAAGTAGGAATATTATGAAAGATACAATAACTAAAATGACCAACAAATAGGATAAACAAGAAAAGCTCAACTGAAGAAAAAGTCCATGAGGTTTATTTAAAAGGTGTCCTGATAAGAGACAGAAAAGCTGTGAGATATGAATGAGAAATTGAACAATAGCTGAAAAAAAGGGGGAGATGAATATCTAAAGAAATGAGAATCTCAGTGAGTTAAAGCAATATAAAAATCCTATTCTACTCCCAGACATGTATCAGAAGACAAAGAAAATTCTAAGAGTTCACAATGAAGAAAGCAAATAACCTACAAAAGAAATCAGACTGACATCAGGTTTCAAAAGAAAACACCGTATATATGTCAGAAGTAATAAAGTGAATCTTTAGGATAACCGAGCCCTTTAAACTTACAATTTTATAGCCAAACTATTATTCAGATATGAAGGCAAAATAAAAAGTATATGAGGTATATCAGGCTTCAGAAAGTATGCCAAATACTCATTGTAATCATTAAAAATAATTTTTTAATTAAGTTAAAAAATCCAAGAGAGGCTATAGATAAGGCATGGGTGCTCAAACACCTTAATAAATTTTACTGTTCCCTTGAAGAAACTGAAAGAGTATTAGAAGTCATATAAAAAATACAGATACTGGTAAATTTTTTTAAATCAATCAGTAAATTTATAAACAATATAGATATAGGTAAATTTAAAAAATAAAAAAAATTAATTTAGGTATTAAGGTTAGAGCCTTTACCATAGTAACAACAAAAAAAGAATGCATTAACTTTGAACCAGCAAAAGACAACTCTATTCAATGAAAGCAGAAAAGAAAAAACAAACACAATTTAAAAATAAGGAAAAGACAGTAGCAATTGAACCCAAAAGCATTAGCAATTTTAAGAAATGCAAAGAGTTGAAATTACTAATAAAGAAGCAAACATACACATTAGAATAAGATACAAGGGTGAAAAAAGACATACCAGGTAAACAAAACCCAAAAGAAAGCTATCTTAATATCAGAAATAACAGAATTTACAACACAACCCACAAGTGACAGATTTACAGGGAGAAACAGGTAAATTACACAGAGCTTTTTAACTTATCCTTCCCAGACTGTTGTATCAATTAGAAAGTAATTGATAAGGAGAATGTGAACACCAAAAGGATTAAGCTTGGGTTATTAATTTCAGCATATATATCTCCATACTTAACATTCATAAAAACAGAATATTAAGGCCAAAATGATACAAAGTAACCATTTAAAAAATCAAATTACTAAGCATTTAACTAAAGAAATTAGAAAGAGGAACTAGAAAACTAGAAACAAGGAAATAACATTAAAGCCAGAGAAAGAGCAGCAATTAAGAACAACAACAACAAAAACAAAAATATGAAAATGAAAAACCAAAAGCTGGTTCTAAAAAACCAGTAACACTGAAGCAACTGGCAAAACGAGTGAAGATTCAAAATACAGAATACAAATGAAAAATAATCGGGTCCCTAAAAATATCATGAATTATATACAGTAATCAGTTTTAAAACTAGTAAAATGCATGTATTTTTAGAAATGCTTACATTTCGAAACTGGCTCGAGAACTCGAAGAGGTCAATTAGAAAGCAGAAAGGGAAGGAGTGAAGGAGGGAGGGAAGGGGAAACATTCCCCAGGACCTCTATTTCCCAAATCCCAACGGTCCAAGTCCATTTTTAAAGGAGTTCTACCAACTGTTCAAGAAATAGTTAATTTCTATCTTGTACAAGTGATTCCAGAAAACAGGAAAAAAGTAAAAGCAACCACATTTCATCAGGCAATCAAAATCTTCAGTCTAAAACCAGGGGATACAATTACCACCCCGAAAGCTTTATTGTACATATATACACAAATGCACACATCTAAGTTCCTATGTTCATTTCACTAATGAATAAGGACTCTGAATAAAATATTAACTATCCAACTCAATGATGAAACAACACATAATGATTAAGTTTATTCCAGGAATGCAAGGTTAGTTTGATATCCAAAATATGTATTTCCAAAAAATATATATTTAATAATGCACTTAACAAATTCAAAGAAAAAGTCGAAAAACAATCTAAAGTAATACATAAAAAAGGTCATAAAAAATCACAGAGACACAATTATTTAATGGGGATTTTATATTCACTCCTGGTTAAGAGTAGAAAGAAGACAAAGATGCCCATTTTAACACTAATGCTTACCATAATACTGGAAGTCCTGGCAGTGTTATAAAGAAAGAAAAGTAAATATGCAGTATAGCGTAATATGGAAGGTTGGAGGTAAACTGCCATTATTTGCAGATAAGATCTTTTGCCCATGGGAGAAAATACAGAACAAATTACTATATTAAGTGTAGCAAAATTTCTAGATATAAAAATCAACTTTCTCTACCATGTTAATCTATGTTTATTCAATGAAATTGCTATCAAAACTTCAGTGTGCTTTTGAAAGAACCCTGATAAACTTCCTGTTAACCATACATACCATAAGGGTCTATAAATGGTTGTTAGGTCAGTCCTGGCAGGCGGGGGGTATGTGTGAGGTAAGGGGTAGTAAAAGAAAGCAACTCACCCTGACAGATATTAAAACATACTATAAAGGCATAGTAATTCAGTGTGACAATGACAGAAGTGATGACCAAAAAAAAAAACAAAAACAAAAACCAATGACACAGCTCAAAGACAAACAGGTGTTTATAAAGACAGTGATATACTATTAAGGTGATACCACAAATAAAAGAAAATGAACTGTTTGAAGTGTTACAAAAACTAGCTCACTAACAAAGAAAGAAAGAAAGGCAGAAGAAAAAGAAAAAATGGATGCCTATTCACACCTGATACAAAGGTATACTCTAAAGAGATTAAAGATCTAAAGATAAAAAGTAAAACTAGTCAATAGGAAATAGAGAAGGAACCAGAAGGACTTAACTTCAAAAGAACAAACCATTAAGTTAAAAAAATTAACAAATATAAAAAGTTATAACTTCTGTATAACAAAGGATGCTATATGTAAATAAAAATGACACAACAGATTTACAAAGTCTAAAAATGAAAAGGAATTAATACCTAGAATACGCACCTAAAAACTCCTGCAAAACAAGAAAAAGACAGCAAACCCCAATAGGAAAAAGGGCAAAGGTTACAAATGAGCAACCAAAGATCCTCACAATCATGAAGAGAAATTCATGACAAAGTCAGGAAAACAAAAAACAAACAAACAAAAACAAGTAAGACTGCACCTCTTCCACTGGTAAAAATAAAATTAAAAAAACAACAAACTATAAAGCTGAATAATGCCAAATATTGGAAAGGATACAAATATAAAGGACAGTGCACTGGACACATGCATTCTAGAAAGCAAGTGGGAAGAACTTAAGGCTTGCGAACTCTTAACTAGCAATCCCACTGGTAAATACAAGGAAATTCTTACATAGTTCCTTAAGAGAACATGTACAAAAACAACCATTACAATAAACTTTGTGCTAATTGAGCTCGGAGGTGATCTAGGTATCCATCAAAGAAAAAACATAGTAAAACATGGTGGACAAACATCATGAGACACAGGCAACATCCAGAGGCCAGAAGATAATAGAAGTACATATAGAGAGCAACAACACAGATGGATCTTAAAATCATAAGGCCATGTAAAAAAATTATAAGCACAATAGGATATTTGGGCTATTAATGATTCATATGACCAACAAAATAAATTAAAAATCTGTTATTTCTTCTAATTCTGTACATTTCTAACCAATCTCTAAACAAATCTCAGAAATGAATAAGATCAGTATAGTTCCTGTGGAGATGAGAATAAACTTTAAAAGACCAACCCTAAATTGGTGGTACTTAAGCAAAACAAACTCCAAATAATCCTATACTAGACATTAACAAACATTAGCTTTCCACTATTACATACATTAAGTCCCAGATGGTCTTAAAAATAGACACACCTGCAATACTGATTACAGAAAGAGAAGTAAGGACTATGAAAAAGAAGAACTTGTACCTTTCAATGTATCCTGTTGGTGTTTCTACCAGACCATCAAGTCTTTCTTGGAGGGCTGCAAGAATCTGAGGATTTTGCATCATCTGAACAGTCAGCTGACGCGCTTAAAAAAAAAAGGGCATCAAAGAAGGATTTTATGAAAATATATTATGCTATTTTAATAGGACAATCCAATCATGGGGTTTCCCTGACTAGCCAGTGATTGCTGGTATGAGTAGAGACAAGCAGCAAGCTAAAGAAAATTCATTCTAGAAAACGCAGCATGTAAGAAAAGTTCAGATTCCTAAGGATCTCTAATCCATGCCATTTCTCAAGACCATTCATACAACTATCAACAGTATCCTTTCTCTTCCCACTATCTTGTGTTTCAGCCATTGTGCAATTTGGGAAGCTCAAAGCTTCATCCAGATGCCTAACTACCCCCCTCTTGATAATCCTTCAAAGGCAGACAACACATCAGAAAACTGCAAACAGTGACAGTTACAAAGCCTGGGTAAGAAAGTGGAATGAGTGACCTGAATGTTTATTTGATGTTTGTTTGTATAATGTGCCTGGGTGTGTCCCAATGGAGAAAGCTAACAGGTGATAGTTAAAGGCTGTAACTAAAGCCAAACAAAATTTGGTTATCAATGGTACCTGAAAATTATACTTGATCCAAAAATAAGCTAGATTTATGAAAAAGTTCTGCTATCTTTTCTTCACCAATAGACACTCCCCCAAATTGCATTTTCCCAATTACATTTTTGGAGTTCAATTTACTTCTAATATTAATTTGGTTATCAGATGACGTACCATTCTGATAACCAACATGCCTTTAGAAGAGTATCAATATTGACCACTAAAGACCGTCCATTATCTTTTAAGAAAATGTAGCAAGATAAAAGCTAAAACTGTAAGTTCTAGAGTCTTTTAACAACCTTATTCTGGTTTAAAAATTAAAAGTTGAGTCATCTGATACCTTAATATTCTTGGCCCGTATCTACAGGATATAACCTAAAACAGTGTAACTCCCCACCACCATGGACCTCAATGTCTGTTGTTTGACGGGAATGGATTAAAAAAGACACGCGTACACACAACTTTATATTGTCTACGTGTTGAATACAAAACATTTTCAAGTAAGTAAGCCTAAGCCAGTGGTATTTGTTTAAAATCACCACTGAAACAACTCCCACCACCACCTCTAACATTTCTGTTTTGCAGGCCAGTGCTCAATCCACTGAGTCACACCATCCAAGGCTTAACATTTCTGAACTGAAGCAAAACTCATGGTAGCTAAACTGTTTGCCACAGCTATGCCATGTCACTCTAGTAGTAAAGGGTATACACAGTGACTTGAGGCATCACTATACCCATACCTTCCTCCATTACTACTATTTCAGCCCATCTTGCCTCCATCCCTCCCCCTACAACATACAAGGACTTACTGAAATGAGGCATGGGCCAGTGGATAAAGCGGACAAGGATCAAAAAGAGAATGGTACTTATTACTACCCTCTAGAAGACATGTGCCAGTAATCACTGATCCTGAAAAATTTAAATACCTTTGATTTTTGTTTCTTCACCAGTTTCTTCTTCTTCTACTTCTTCAACATCATCCAAATCTTGATCAAGTTCAGACTGTTCTTTGCTACAATATTACAGTATCACACCAAGTTCAAATGTACAAAATTACCAAAAATAAAAAAATACAAAGACTTCATTTTCTAAGTTGAAATGACTCTTTCAAAAATATGAAATAGGAAACTCAAAAGATAACTGTTTTCTTTCTAACTCTGTATGTAAGCAAGTACAAATACTTAAAATTGCACTTAAAGCAAATGGTCAAATACAACATTTATTCTTCAAGCTTTAAAAATGTGGTTTAACAGGTTTTGATTCAGAGAATGTAGTTACAGGAAGTATGTGCTTTCTCCCAATATCTAATGCTTTTTCTTAGTAACAGTACTCTAATTTGCAAGAAGGCAGTTCACAAATCTAAAATATCTACATTTCCAGACTACCCTTTAATTTAGATGTGGCTATGTGACTGTTTTAGCAGCGAAAGAAAAAGTAGTAGCATAGAACTTTGAAGAAGATTTCTTTATAGGACAGCAAACAGTTGGGAGACCTTTGTGACCTTGTTTCCTCCCTAGTGTATGGATGTCATGGCTAGAGCCCCAGCAGCCACATTGGATCATGAGGCAACCTAGATCATGGAAGTAACCAGCTAAGGATGAAAGAGTTTGGAAAAACAGGAGAGTCCTGTATCCCTGATGGCTGTGGAGCAGGAGTATCAGCCTGTACTCCTTACCTTTGTGGACCTTCCTCCTTTCTCAGTACTTCACAGTACAGATGGGAAAGAATAGTAAAAGTTACCGAGACTATTCCATGCTTAGAGCAAAGCCAGGAGGATGGCACCAATGAAAAAGATGTATAAGTAGTAACATAACATTCTTCTCATTTCATCTTAAAAACCTAGTTTCCATACATGAAATTATGACCAGGAATAAAAAGGGAAATAAGAATAGCTAAGTCAATGTATAAATCACTATATAATTCCTTTTGCAATTTTACATTTTAATATTTTGTTTAGAGGTTTGGTTGCTTTACTTGCTTATAAACAGCATTTGAAAGATTTTCATATATGGACAAGTACTATCTCATTTTCACATGGGGACAAGTACAGAAAAGGTCAACTGTATTCTACCAGCAAAATTTACATTCCTGTCAACTAATCAACTAAGGAAAAAAAATCAACCTACCTATCAAAAACAAAATAATCATTTCTGAAATATCTCAGACAGTATAAACTTAAGCATACTAGAGTAAAGGGTAAAGACAACATGGAACCGCTCTTCCTCCACTATTTCATTCAACCATTTATTAAACACTTACACCTTAAGGCTTTAAAACAAGGGTCTACACAAACTATGTTATATGGCCAAATACAGCCCACTCTTATTTTTGTAAATAAAGTTTTTTTTTAAAATTGGAATACAGCAATGTTAATTCATTTATCTACTGTCTATGGCTGCTTTCATACTAAAACAGCAGAGTTGGGTAGTTGCAAAAGAACATATGGCCCAATATGCCTACAATGTTTAAGATCAATCAGGTCCTTCACAGAGAAAAGTTCACTAACTTCTGCTGTAAAAAACAAGAATCCCCTCTTCCCTTCCCTCTGTGAAGGCTCACAGGCATCCAAAATTAAATAATGAAAGAGGGAACAATTTATCCCCTCCCAAATTTATACAATGAAAAGAAGGTTAAAATCATAGACTGCACATAGTCATCTGATCTCAATCCTTACAGAATCCCTAGTAAAATTTTGATAAAGGGGCTTTCTAAAAGAGACACACACCAAGGACAAGGAGAAAAGAACAGCAACTTCACTGCGAACTGAAATCTTAGTAGTAGGGAAAGCTGAGAGCCAATTGAAACACGGAATCTTAAATAGAAAACTTAATATGGATAAAATAGGGAGGACAAAGCCAAACCTGACAAAGCTGTGAAATCCTTAGCTCCTCTCCCTCACTATAACAGAATATGGCAGTTTCTTCTCTGGAAAGGGCTAAACTGAGAAGCTGAACTGGAAGATCACAGTTACAACTATCTAAAGTATGACAATATACACTCAGCAATACTCAAAGCAGAGACCCCTCCCTAACTGTCTCCTCCCCATTTGGCTCCCAGAACAGCCATTCTTCACTGAGGTATATCTGACCAGCCAAGAAAAAACAATTGATGCTGAGAATTCTCACAGTAAATGCCCACCTTCATGACCTTACATTAAAATCTTAAATGGACAAGCATCCCCCCTCCCAACACCCAAATTTTCCAGGCAACTTTTAAAAAACATCCTGCAACTGCCTGTCCCCACTCCTCCCCCCAATCTTCATGAGCAATCAAACAAGTTACTACCTCCTTTTGAAGAAGGCTTCTCATATTGACACCAAATCAGAAGAAATAAAAATTCAAGAGCAAATAAGACAATATAGGAGAAAGAAACATCCAGAGAAAACATATTACAATCAATGAAAGAACAAGATGCTATAAAATCAGAAACAGATGGCAAAGGAGAGCTGGTGAACTAAAAAGTAGAAATGTGGAAACTCAATATAAGAGTTGAAAGATGAAGTTTCTTCAACATTTCCTAGAAAGAGCAAAGACACAAAGATGGAAAATAGTAAAGGTAATTAGAAGAGCCAGCCCAACACACAGCGTAACAGGAGATTCAGAAAAAGAAAACAGAGGTAAGACAATCAAGAACATTCCCCAGAACTAAGTCATCAAATGGCCAGATTCAAAGGGTCTGCCCCTGAATGGGTTAACATGAGGTGAAAATACAGACCCAACAAAGTAAAAAATTCTGAACTCCAAAACGAGAGTAGTTTCCAGAAATAAACAGATCTATGTGTACATTTGTTTAAAAAAGTGCCATGTACAAATGATCAAGAATAGTAAAGACCTTGAATTTTCAACACAGCAAGACTGGAAGCCAGGTGACAATAGAGCAATGCCTTCAAAATTCTTAAAAATGATTCCCAAATTAGAATTCTGCATACAATCAAGCATAAGAGTAGAAATGTCATTATCACTTATGCCATCTCAAAATAATTTACTTCCCATGTACTCTTCTAAAAAGGTACTAAAGAACCAAAAAAGAAAACAGGATATAACAAAGAGCAAACCCAAGAGAAGAAAAACAAAACCCCTGGAAGGTAATAAAACAGATCCACAATTTCTTAGCTAAGGCTAAGAATCCAAACTGGAGGTATGTGATCAAGGTGATGATACTTTTTATCATTAAAATGCCTACTACCACTCCTCTCTTTTTATGCTCAAGACAGCATTCATGGAAGGATTAGCCAGATTCCTACATGTATAGTACTTGAATGTGTTAACCTTAAGCTAAAGTTTCCTGCTCTTCCATCTCCATGCTCGGCTGCCTATAAAAGCTGTGTAGCTTTTAATCTTCACAGCTAATGATATGATATTATCATTATATCAATAATCATATCATACCTCCCCCATCCCCAAACACTGTTCTAAACTGTCCTCTACGTTGGCAGGCTACAGTAAAATTCCAAGAAACAAATAACGCAGCCCATCCCATTTTTCCTGATCATATTTCTACAAGACACCTATCCATATTATAACTGTGCCAGACACCAACCTCACCAACACTATTTCCAGGATGTGTGTGTGACCTTGCCCAAAGACTTCTCCAAATTAAGCCCTTGAAAAGCCGGAGTAAAACTGAAGCCACACTATTACCCAGATAGTCCCTTTTGCCTTTTTCTTTATACATCTACATTTGTGACTCCTATTCAGACTTTCAAAATTAAATGTTAAGGACTTGTAGGTGGTGAAACTCGAACAAAAAGCAAAAGCCAAGACAGTGCTTACACCTCTGAAGAGCAAAGGTGGAAGATGCAATGGAGAAGGGGCACACAGGGCTTCTAACAGTAATTTAATGGTCTCCCTTTAAAAGCTTGTATACAGTGTCCTATCCTTCTTTACTCTCTACATAGACATTTTATACACTTTTTACACCTTTTATCTTGTATATATGACACATTACAACGTTAGTAAAGATCTTTGGGAAACACACATAGGGTAAAAATGGGTTATGCAAATATCTTATTCATTATTGTGCTTAGCACTTTCCTATGAATTTGTCGAATAGCTTACTATACTTATGAGTGATTATATATGCTATATTTTGTCTTGGATATGCAATATGTAACTTCTATAATAGTAGGTACTAAACATTAGTCATTACTGTACTTTTTAATAATACATAACCAGTACTACTATTAAGTACATCACAGTACAAATCTCTGAAAAAGAAACCAACTATTTGCCACTTACTTGTCAATATCTGCCATGTTGTAAGAACTCCAAATATCTATGGAGAGAAACATCAATGTTAAAAAAGTTTAAAATTTATTCAAAACCAATAAAAACCTTAAAACCAAAACCCTGTAAATCAATACTATGTTAAAAACTATCCCAAAAGAAATGTATATTCCCATTAAATAAAAGCATCAGTGTTAAGAAATGCCACAAAACAAAGATTTTCATGGTTAAAATAAGCAAGTTACTAAGTAGCAATTTAGAATCTATCACATAAGGGCTTTTATTATAGCATCGTTAGTAAAGAATCTAATGTACGTTAGAATCACAAAAAAGGAACAATACAAAGGATCTTTATTCAAATTCCTGTAACAACCATGAATGGTCAATTTTTGTTTAAATTTTTAGGCTACTTAGTACCTGACAGAACAAACCCACTCATTTTTAACAGCATTCATTTTTATCAAATTCATGTTTAAGAGCCCAAATTTGCCACCTACTATACTCATGCCTGCCCCCAACCCTGAAGATCTTTGTAAAAAAGGTTTAATAGTACTTGTATTCAATGACAGTTATAAAGCTCTGCTTCCCAACCTATGTCAACTAAACCTTTCATGTCTCTTCATGCCGCATCACTGATAACCACCACACCCGAGCCTACCCTGCATATGTTGGTACACTGTTAGCACTCTTGGTTAGCAGACCCAAATACTGTTAGAATCAATCACAGTACATCGGAAGTTCTTTCTTACTGTAAAATTAGTATTAACTTTAGAATATTGTTTTTAGAAAACCAAAACTTAAGGTAAAGTGTGTTATATTCAGTCAGAAAAATGACTGAATGCCACTGGTAAGACAGATAGTAAAAAGAAAAAATTTTTAATCAAGCTTAGAACCCCACATTAAAATCAAGTTTTTATCTTTTAAGAATTAAAACCTTAGTCTTTAACTTACAAAATGATACACAATATGATTTCTTATACCAACATGCTTAATATATGCTTGTTAATTAAAATGTTGAGAAATACTGATTTTAGCAGTCAAGGGCTAATATTTGGAGTATTACTTCTCCACTGCCAACCCTCAGTGTCCACTTGGTGGCATTACATTTAAAATTCAAACTCCTACGACAAAATTGTTTTGATTCTTTAATTAAACAGGATTCTAGACAGAAAAGGATTGAATTTTTACTTTTTCACGGATTCCCATTCCAGGCAAATTAGATTTCTTGGTTGCACACATTTTTTTGTTTTTTAAAGTAGACCTAATTTTTAAATCGTATCATTTGGGTTGATACCAACTTTGGAAGAATCTATCTAACTCAGGAAAAAAAGTCTAGCCTTATTTAATCATCTACAAAGTTAGAAAAAAGTTTCCTCATTGGATTGATCTTTTTAAAATATATTTTATTGATTATGCTCTATTACAGTTATGCCATCTTCTCCCTTTTGCCCAGTTCCATCCAGTACCCCTATACCTCTAGTAATTCCCCCCTTAGATCATGTCCACAGATATATGAGTCCTTTGGCTTCTCCATTTCCTATACTATTCTTATCATCCTCCTGTTTATTTTGTACCTACCAATATGCTTCTTACTCCCTGTACCATTTCCCCCATTCTCTCCCTTGTCCCCTCCCACTGATAACCGTCCATGTGATCCCCATTTCTGTTCTAGTTGTTTGCTTAGTTTTTTTAGACTCCATTGTTGTTGTTTTTTAATTTTACTTATTTATTTTTTAGATTTTATTTATCTTTAGAAGGGAAGGGAAAGATAGAGGGAGAGAAGTATCAATGTATGGTTGCTTCTCATGTGTCCCCTGCTGGGAATTGGCCTCTGCTGGGAACTGGCTTGCAACCCAGGCATGTGCCCTGACTGGGAATCAAACTGTGATCCTTTGGTTCACAGGCCCGTGCTCAATCCACTGAGCTACACCAGGCAGGGCCTAGACTCCACTGTTTACAACTGTGAGTTTGCTATCATTTTATACTGTTCATAGTTTTGATCTCCTTTTTCATATAAGTCCCTTTAACATTTCACGTAATGAGGGCTTAGTGTTGATGAACTCCTTTAGTTTCACCTTGTCTGGTAAGCACTTTATCTGCCCCTCCATTCTAAATGATAGCTTTGCTGGTCGCTAGTCAGAGCAATCTTCGTTGCTGTCCTTGCTTTTCATCTCTTTGAATACTTCTTGCCTGCAAAATTTTTTTGAGAAAACCAGCTGATAAGTCTTATGGACTCCTTTGTAGATAACTATCTCCTTTTCTCTTGCTGCTTTTAAGATTCTCTCATTATCTTTAATCATGGGTAATTTAATTATGATGTGTCCTGTCTGGTCCTCTTTGGGTCCAACTTGTTTGGGATTCTGAGCTTTCCAGATTTGTATGTTTATTTCCTTCACCAAACTGGGGAAGTTTTCTTTTATTACTTTTTCCAGTAAGTTTTCAACTTCTTGCTCTTCCCTCTTCTCATTCTGGTACCCCTATGATTTGGATGTTGGTACGTTTAAAGTTGTCCAAAAGACTCCTAAGCCTCTCTTCATTTTTTTTTTAAATTCTTGTTTCTTCTTTCTGTTCTGGTTGAACTTTTGTTTCTTCCTTTTGTTCCAATCACTGATTTAAATCCTGGCTTCCTTCCCTTCACTGTTGGTTCCCTGTATATTTTTATTTCATTTTGCATAGCCTTCACTTCTTCCTTTATTTTGGTGGCCACACAGAGTCATTTCTCTGGGCAACCTCATCACCAGTGTTTTTGAATTCTGCATCTAATAGGTCAGTTATCTCCATCTCGCTTAGTTCTTTTCCTGGAGTTTTGATCTGTTCTTTCATTTGGACCACATTTCTTTGTTACCTCAATTTGGCAGCCTCCCTGTGTCAGCACACCTGTTACATTGTAATAGGTGGAGTCTTAGGCATTCACCAGGGTGGTGCAACCCACTTCACCACTTTGTGGCACTATATGTCTAGGAGGGGTCAGAGAGGGAACAATGCCACTTGCTCAGCTCTAGCCCCATTTCCAGTCACTTTTATTTCCTGTAAGGAAGTGGCTCCCTTCTAGCTGCTGCCTTGGTGCTGATTCCCATAGTGGGTGGGTTTGCTTAAGTTCTAGGACCCTGTGGGCCTTTTAAATGGACTCTTCTGGGAGACCAGCAGTTTCTTCCGCTATCCTAACCCCCATTGATTTTTACAGCCAGAGGTCATGAGGCTTTGTTTTTCTGGTGCTAGAACCCTAGGCTGCACAGTCTGGCCTGGGACTGGGATTGCTTGCGTCCCAGTTGTCCCTCGTTTTTATCTGCCACACATGAATGTGGGACTGCCCTTTCCATCGGTGGCAGCTCCTGCTGCCTCACCACATGTGTCCTCTCCACCCCTCCTACTCATCTTGACAAATATTTCTTCTCTAAATCCTTGATTGTCAGACTTCCACACAGTCTGATTTTCTGGCAGTTCTGGTTGGTTTTTGTTTTTAAATTAACTGTCCTTTTTTTGTGTGAGGAGGTGAAGTGAGTCTACCTATGCCTCCATCTTGGCCAAAAGTTGGATTTGCCAGATTGATCTTATTAAGAAGCAAATTCATGTAAAATATTCCTTTAGTTCCGACAAATGTACAGAATGACAAATAAATATACCACAGTAATTTAAGATGATAACATTAGAGAAAAGTCATTGGGAACTATCTAAATTATCTACAACTTCTCTATAAATATAAAATTACAAGTAGTTCATTTTTAAAAAGACAGATTTCCACACTCAGATTCTGAACCATCATGCCTGAGAAAGCAAAATGATAAGGATAAGGAAGTCACTTTTGCCATGTAGCCAACTGCCAACCTCAAACTTGAACTACTGTATGGTGAAATCAAAAGCTATGGACCTATTATTCAAGGTGAAGAATCTTTTTGGCAACCCTCCCAAATTAAGCAGTAATCTAAAAGTGCTAAATTCGCAAGGATAATAAACCAGTTCTCCTGAACGAAAGCCCAATATAACCTCATCTATGTTCCCTTCAAAATCCAAACTATGAGCTTAAAGTGGTCTCTGACAAGGGTTTCTAGGCACCTGCATATCCAAATATAAGTGAAAGGTACCTTCATCCTAGACCTCAAATAATTCATAAATTTTCCAAGAGTAAAAAGGACAACAGAAGCCAGTCTATAAAGACTTAAATATTGTCAAGAAGGCTATAAACATAACTATAAACACAGACAAAAAAACAACCATGTGAACTATGTTTGAAAATACAATGCCTGCAGCTATATCCACAAGGAACAGTAGTATATTAAAGGTGATATAGCTAATTTGGCAAAGGACTAAATAGAACTTCTACAAATAAAAATACCAAATCAAATTAAACAAACAAGTTTAATAGTAGACTAAATACAGCTGGAGAATTTGGTGAGCTGGAAGCTTAAAAGAAATCTTCCAAAATATGACAGAAACTAAAAGGCAGAAAATACTAAAGTTAAAACACATTTTAGGATACAATAAAGTCCAATGAAGATTTAACACAAATTTTAGGAGTAAAGAATAAAATGGGAAGAATATTTGATGAAATTAAGAGCAAAGAATTTTTCAGAGCTAATAAATGATAGCCCCACAAATCCCAATTGGGACAAATAAAAAAAGAAACCCACACTTATCTGAGATATGAGTGAAAAGGCAAGACACTAAAACAGTCACCTTAAAGACACACAGAGAAAAGACAGATTAACCTCAAAGGCACAAAAGACAGTTCTTTTCTTTTTAGTAATAAACATCAAAAGACAACAGAATGTGCTGTTGTGCTCAACATACTGAAAACAATGGAGGATTTCAGAATATTATACACAACCACAACATCCAACACTTTTAGCTCCAACATTCTCAGTAGTAAATTCTAAAAGGACCTTCTTTAGGCAGAGGGCAAGTGACTGAAAATGGAAGGTCTAAGATATAAGAAATGAGGAGCAAATAGATATCCATATATATATATATAAATAAATATTTTAAAAGAATATCACCACTGTGTAGTGTATCAAAAAATTTACACCACCACAACATGAAGTCAGTGGTGAC